TCCTATCTTGCGAAGATTGACCGCGAGTACGCCACCCAAAGGTACGCCGAAACCGACGCTCCTTTGCTCTATATCTGCATTCAAATCGGAAAGGCAACCTGTAGTGCCTTGATTGATTGCGGAGCGTCTCGCAACTTTATGAGCCAAGCCTTTATGGCCCGCGCAGGTCTTGGCCGGTGCGTTCGAAGGAAGACGCAACCCACGTAAGTTACACTCGCGGACGGCCGCACGCATAAGTCAATTGACCGATGCGTCGACGGCGTTTCGGTATACTTTGCGCCACTTGCGTGCGAGCCGGTGTCTTTTGACATCCTCGACACCAAGTTCGACATGATTCTAGGCATGTCTTGGTTGCGTAGCGCCGATCATCCGGTGAACTTCCATGACCGAACCGTTCACACCCGTGATCGGAACGGAGTGTTAGTCCCATGTACGGTCGCGACCCCTCACACTTCGATTGCTTGTCACGTGGTTTCCATTGCGAGAATTTGCGACGCCATWGCTCGGAATGACGTCGAGGAGATGGGCCTTGTATTCTTGCATGCTCTCCCCTCGCCGGACGGACCAGCCTCGTCACCGTCGGACCCACGCATTTCTCACCTCTTGGACGAGTATAGAGACGTCTTCGAGGCTCCCACCGGAATGGTTCCGGATCGGCCCATACGTCACGGGATCACTCTCGAGGCTGGCGCTGTCCCTCCGCGTGGATGTATCTACCGCATGAGCGAAGAGGAACTCGAGGTGCTTCGCGCACAACTCGATGACCTTCTCGACAAAGGCTGTATTCGCCCTAGTTGCTTGCCATACGGTGCCCCGGTTCTCTTCGTCCGGAAGAAGAACAAAGACCTACGGTTATGCATCGATTATCGGAAACTTAACGCACAAACCGCAAAGAACGCCGGCCCTCTCCCTCGGATTGATGATCTYCTTGAGCGGTTAGGCGGCGCGACGTACTTCTCGAAGTTGGACTTGAAGTCAGGTTACCATCAGATTGAAATCCAGCCTCAAGACCGGTACAAGACCGCGTTCAAGACGCGGTACGGGCATTTTGAGTGGGTTGTCATGCCCTTTGGCCTCACCAATGCCCCCGCGACTTTCCAAGCAGCGATGACGACTGAGTTTCGCGACTTGCTCGATCGCAGCGTCCTCATCTACCTTGATGACATCTTTACAGTAGGATGTTGGACGAGCACATCGTACACCTCCGCGTTGTTATGGATCGTTTGCGACGAGCCAAGTACAAAGGGAATCTCGATAAGTGCGAGTTCGCCAAGCAAGAGCTTGAGTACTTAGGTCATTTTGTCACGCCGAAAGGCATTCGTCCCTTAGCGGACAAGAATCAAGCCATCGTGGATTGGCCGGAACCCCGTTGCGCGACGGATGTACGCTCTTTCATGGGTTTGGCTGGATATTATCAGCGATTCGTCGAGTCATACTCGAAAGTGGCCGCTCCTTTGTCGAGACTCCAGTCCCCGAAGGTGCCCTTCGAGTTCGACGACGCAGCCCGTGGCGCGTTCACTACGTTGAAGGCAGCAATGCAAGCCGCACCTGCCCTTCGTATATACGACCTCACCCTACCCACCCAAGTGACTACGGACGCTTCGGGATACGGCATTGGTGCGATGTTGGAACAGTGTCAGGAGGACGGTTGGCATCCGGTCGAGTACTTCTCCCAAAAGGTGCCCCTCGTCAACACTCTAGACAACGCTAGGAAGAAAGAGCTACTCGCGTTCGTCACCGTTCTCAAACGGTGGCGCCACTTTCTTCTCGGTCGTCAGCATTTTAAATGGAATGCTGACAACAATCCGTTGACCTTTTACAAAACGCAGGATACAGTCACTAGTACGATCGGTCGATGGATGTATTACATCGACCAGTTCGACTTTGACCCGTGCCACATTCCCGGTCCCGCCAATCGAGCTGCGGATGCCCTCTCACGACGGCCCGACTTTTGTGCCATTGTGACCACGGCATTCGACCTCGAGGACGATTTGCAGCCGCATTTCGTCAAAGGTTACAAGTCCGATCCGACTTATGCC